ATTGTCGAGAGCCAGCACAAGGCGTGATGGTCCGTAACCACAGTAAAGTGGCGGCCGTGGAGATAAGGTCGAAACTTTTGTATCGACCATACGACCGCTAGGCACTCCTGTTCGGTGATGGTATAATTCTGTTCAGCAGGGGTCAGTGCACGGCTCGCGTATGCGACGACTTTCTCACGTGAAGATTTGTCTCGCTGTAGAAGAATTCCACCAATGCCTCGACCACTAGCATCTGTATGCAGGAGCGTAGGCGCGGTTTCATCGAAATGGCAGAGGACTGGTTCGGATGTGAGTGCACACTTCAGTTGGGCAAACGCCGCTTCACATTCAGGAGACCACACAAAGGTGACGCCTGATCCGAGCAACTTGTGCAATGGTGAAGCTATTGAGGCGAAGTCTCGAATGAATCGGCGAAAATAAGAAGCGAGGCCGAGGAAACTGCGCAAATCTTTGGCTTTTTCAGGACGCGGGAAGTGTTGGACAGCGGAAATCTTGTCAGGATCGGGACGAATACCGTCCTTGCTTACGATGTGGCCTAACACTTTAATCGTCTTGCTCGCAAAACGGCACTTCTTGGTGTTCAGCTGAAGGCCTGCGTTTGCAAGGCACGTAAGAACTTCGTCCAGTCGTTGCAAGTGCTGAGGGAAGGTTGACGAGAAAATAACGATATCGTCTAAATAGCACAAGCAAGTCTTCCACTTCAAGCCTCGTAAAACTGTATCGATCATCCGCTCGAATGTTGCTGGAGCATTGCAAAGGCCGAATGGCATGACGTTGAATTCATACAGCCCATCTGGTGTTGAAAACGCTGTCTTTTCTTTGTCATCCTCGTGCATGGGTATTTGCCAGTAACCTGAACGCAGGTCTAGGCTTGAAAAGTACTCAGCACCTTGCAGGGAATCCAAAGCATCGTCTATGCGCGGCATGGGGTAAACATCCTTGTGGGTAATCTTATTAAGTGCTCTGTAGTCCACGCAAAACCGCACGGAGCCATCTTTTTTCCTTACTAAAACAACAGGGGATGACCAAGGACTCGCGGAGGGACGTATAATGTTCCGTTGCAGCATATCGGCTACATTTTGTTCAATGATTTCACGCTCGGATGAAGAGACGCGATATGGTCGACGGCGTACGATGGAAGTGCCATCGGTCTGGATACGATGCCTAATAATGGACGTCTGTCCCAGAGATGAGGAATGGGCATCAAACAATCTCCTATGCTTTTGTAGCAAGGCAAGCAACTCATCTGTCTGTGAAGAGGTCAGTTCTGGACTAATAGTCGCAGCAAGAACAGAAACGCTTGATGAACGTCCAATAGAAGGAAGGTCAGAACACGCTGGCATAAGAGAGACAACAGAGACAGGTTGAGATTCAGAAACGCAAGCCATTGTGGTGCCTTTAGGAATGAGAATTTTCTCAGAAGTCTGGTTTGTAGCGTAGAGAAGTCCGGAGCCATTGTGGAATCGCGCTAGACCTGAAGCAAAGGCTATACCTCTTGCGAGACAGCGTGCAGATGGTTGGACAAACACGTCACCAGAGTCGATCACATTAGAAGTGATGGCAACTATCCGCTGATGACCAGGTGGTAGCTCGGTCTCTTCAGCAGCGAGCAAGCGAACGGGCTTGTCATCCGCATACAGGGCATAGTCAGTTTCCATCATATGAACAACATTTTCTTTACAGCAGATGGAAGCGTTCGCCGTAGACAGAAAATCCCAGCCTAATATAATCTGGTGGGCACACGAATTCAGCACAGCAAATTGTACAAAATGAAGAATACCAGCGATGAAAACACGAGCGGTGCACATAGCGGCAGGTCTAATGGCGTCCCCTTGAGCAGCGTGCAGTGTAGGTCCATCATAAGGGGTGGTGACTTTTCGTAAACGTGAGCACAAAGAACGATCAATCACAGACAAAGAGGCACCAGTGTCTATTAAAGCGTCCACGTACACACCTTCTATTAAAACAGCTATCGTATTATATGGACGCACTGGAGGAATTTCTGTCTTTTCGTTCGATGCAGCTTTTCCTCCAAAAGCTGCAGAGGTTAGTTTTCCGGGCGTTGGTTGGTGAATTGCGAGACAGGTCGCAATGGAGACGTGGAACGGCGGAGGGGTGAGGGTGAGCGGCGTCTAGTAGAGCGGTAGGAACTGGTTGGCTCAGATGTCGCAGTTGGAGACGGTGAGCGGCGTAGCGGCGGATCATAAGGACGACGTTGGAAAACGTACCAGCTTGTCCCATCATCCCGTCCGTAGGTGTCGAGTCCACGACGCTCGTCCTGCTGACGCTTCCGACAGACGCGTGCAATGTGGCCCCGATAGCCGCAGTAATAACAGATCGGACGATGCGGCCGACACGGTGGGTGAAAGGGCTGGCTAGTCACACTCGGAGTTAACGAAGCCAGCGGGACAGGCGTCGAGTGTGCGGGCATCGGTTGTACCACGGGTGGTGAGCCAGCGAGGACTTGTGCGTACGTCGGTTGAAGTCGAGGTACTGGAGTGTCTACAAACGCTGGCCTGGTCATGGACGCCAACTCCTCTTTGATAACATCCCGCAAAACATTGTTGGAGGGGGGAGGTGGACTCGGTGTCATTGAGAGGCCGAAAGATTGTAGCTCTTCTCGTATAAGCGCCCGGATCATGGCACGCAATGAGGCATCAGTCGTGGTAGTGGTTTCAGAGCTGTCCGGCGGTAACCGTTGGGATTCAAGTTCTTCCAGGCGTTGGCACGTGGCAACAACGTCAGCGACCGTAGTCGGGTTCTGAATGACCAAGGCATTGAACGCGACCGTGCCTATCCCTTTTAGTAGATGACGAACTCTCTCTGATTCAGGCATGGACGTGCTGAAACGGTGACAGAGAGCAAGCACATCCTCTATGTACGATGTGTAGGACTCACCGCATTGTTGCTTGCGAGAATCCAGTGTCTTCTTCGCGAGAGCTGAACGAACCGCCGGGGTGCCGAAAATTTGGCGAAGCTGTTGCTTGAAACGCGTCCAGTCTGTAATGTCCGTTTCATGATTGAAAAACCATGTTTTCGCTACGCCCGTGAGGTAGAAAGAAACACGGCGAAGCTTGGTAGGATCATCCCAGTTGTTAGTGGAACTCGCTCGATTGAACTGGTCCAACCAATCTTCCACATCTTCACCTCGAAGTCCGGCGAACGTGGGCGGCTCACGCTGGTGCGCGGTGATAATCCACGATGGATAGGCCGTGGTAGCCGGGGCCGTGGAGGTAGACGCAGAAGCGCCGGTTGGCTCGTCCTGAGGCATGTTACTGGACACCTGGTACAAACTACGACCTGAGCGCAGCTCCAGGAGGCAGATCGGGCTGGGAGAGGACGGAAGATCGTAGAGCACACTCCACCACTTGTGATGTAACAGTAAAGGCAACCTTTATTAGGCCCGGAAGACACGATGAAGCGACCACGCCCAAGGCACAGAACTCAGACAAGCCAAGTCCCCACAGCAGAAGAAGATGACGACCACTCATGATGATGAATATGTGTAAAGATAGATGATGTGCTTAATGAATGCCTACAATATTTCTATTGAGCAAATTATGGTATGTGATGCAGGTTTTGTGTTGCTCACGGGTGCATGTGCAAAAGCTGCATAGGATATTTGCTGTGTTTATATGGGGGTCTACTTGGGAAAAATGTAGTAGGACAAATCTGTTCCGAAGAGTAAAACAGGGGGGACTAAGCCTGTCGCATCTGTTCGTGTGACAACTAGTTAATCGTTTTATTTTCTTTCGAGATGTTCAACACCCCTTCTTAAGAACGGTATGCCAGTTACGCCTTTGTCGTGTTCTGCCTTACTTTATGGTTAGCACCGCAAGCATGCCCGGAGCTACGCGAGGTTTCTTTAAGGAAGTTGCGGACAGTATCCGGTTCTTGTCAGTTTGGTTTTCCAATGAATACCCTTTTTCGGTCGGGCGAAAGAAATTGCATAAAGACATATGCGAAATGATTTTTCCAGTTCCTATGTATAGGTTAATCAATAACGGGGGAGAAGGCAATGGTGTTCTTAAGCGTGTTAAGAAAATGCAAATTCAGCCTAGTGCAAAAAGCTTTTTCTTTAAATTACACTCCGGAACACTACCGGTTAAGACTTCTTTAGAAGATAGAGGAGTTTATATACCATGGGGTTCGAACTTTTTGATCGGCCGAAAGCCGGAGACAATTGATCACGTGTTTTGCATTGTTGGGAAGGGGTTTACTTCTGGGATGTTTTACAGAGAACTCTAAAAAAGGAACTTCCCTTACATTCACTCGGTATCAGGTTTTTAACAGTAGAAAAAGAGGAGGGACTGCCTTTTAATCTTATAATGCTGCTTGGCCTCCATTGTCTATGGCGGGCAAGAATGGCCGGTTACTTCTGTGACCGTGACAGGCGTCCGGCCCGCATGCTTTTCCGCGAAAGAATTGCTCAGTACATTGATATACTCAAACAACAAGATTTTGTTCCGGAACGGCTCTCCAGGGTTGAACCCCTGGTGAACCTGAAGGAATTTTAGCACTGTAACCACTTATAGTTCCGTGACTGTTTTGTCATTGCTTCTGTTGTGTATGTTACTGTTTACAGTGACTTATATTGATGTGTGTACCTAGTGCAAAAACGGTAATAAAGAAAAAACCTCTCGGTGGCTCAGTGGTTAACACCTCACATTCACGACGCGGAGGTTCCCCGTTCGATTCCGCGTGCCAGAGTCTCTTTCCTGGGATTTTTTTTCTCTCGTTCTCACATACATAGATGCGTATACATATACGGTGCATGACATCGACGCCGACGCCGGTGTCGAAATCCAGCCGTGGGCGTCCATACAATCGTTACGAAATAAAAAAAGAAATCGGACGAACGTGTTTTTACCAAAGCAACATCAAGTACAATCCACAATAGAAAATATCAAACAGCGCTTCAACACAGGACACAGGCAAGAAAGAGACTTACACGGTGCTGAACTTGCAACTATGGTTGCACTTACACAAAGTCAACTTACCACATTTATATTGAGCGACTGGTCGACTTCTGCTGAGCATTCTATACATGACAGCTTTCCCCGATGTACTTGCGTCCAAAAATGCGTCTTCAAGCAGTTCGCACAGGCAGTGTGCCCACACGGTATCAACTTATTTTGAGTCAAGTCCTGAAAATATAGGCCTTTAATGTGAATCGACAGCAAAAGCAGAATGCGGCTTGAGGCCTGTACAAATTTTACCGCACGGCGAGCTACGGAAATTTATATCAGGCACGAAAATTAATTAGTGTCTTCTGCTATCTACGAAAATATAAATCTCTTGGGCGTTAGATTAGAACATAACAAACGATGAGGTCAGCTTTCTTCGGTGTCTTACGCAGTGTTGGCACCAGCAGCAGAAAGGAGAATCTGTGATGAACCTATTAAGGTCCACCCAAGATACTGCGACAGTGGAAGAGGAGTTACGTGTACAGTCACGAATGAGTTCACATAAGGGGTGACTGGGTACCGACGCAAACTGCTGATGGAGTTCCCATTCGCACAGAATTTCGACTGACTGACCGACTGACCGACCCACTGACCGACCCACTGACCGACCCACTGGCCGACTGATTGATTAATTAATTAATTAATTAATTAATTAATTAATTAATTAATTAATTAATTGATTGATTGATTGATTGATTGTGTCAGGTCTAACGTCCCGAAACCGCCATATGAATATCAGAGACGCCGTAGTGGAGAGCTCCGGAAATTTTGACGGCCTGTGGTTCTTTAACGTGCACTCAAATCTGAGCACACGGGCCTACAGCATTTTCGCGTCAATCGAAAAGGCAGCAGTCGCTGCCGGAATTTGATACCGCGATCGGTGGGTCAGCAGCCGAGTACTTTAGCCACTAGAGCACCGCGGTGGGGCAATTTGCATAGAATGACAGTGTAACTGTGTACAAAACAAAAAATCGAACCAGAGCGAATTCAAAGGCAGTATTCAACACTAACAAATATCTAACATTTAAACAGTGCGGCAAACAATATTTGGCTAACGCCACAGATGTTATTAAAAGCAAACTGGTACAAGTATGGTCGTATAAAATAGCGACCATAGAGAAACACTTACACTTTCCAGAAAGCTATGGTAGCACAATACGCAATCTTTGAAAACTGCGTCCTTCAGAAAGAACAACGCGCTTCTGATGGACTCCTTCTCACGGGCTGCGCGCAGAGCTTTATCTTTGTCGTAGCCCATCTTGGTAAGAAGGACTGCGAGGATGCCTTCGCCAAAAGTGCATACTTCTCTATCCGTGATCAAGTTTCTGGCATGCTCCTGCAAATAATTTTGTTTTGCTATACGATAATACGCTTAGGCGCACTTTACGCCATGATACAGATGACAAGTTTTTTCTCACCGTAATGATTCCAGCCATGCGTGTGATTTGTACCTGCCAGGAGAAAACACATTTTCGAATGAAATTCACAATAACCTAGATGCAGCAACCGTGCTTAAAAAGCGTGACAACCCGATAGCAAAAGAGCTCCCTTAGAAAAACACCAGCTTCTCTTCAATGATTTTGGACAACTTCCAGCAATTTAGTGAAAGCGCTAAGATAGTAAATGGGTGTCAAACTTGCGGCCCGTGGACCTTTCGCTAGTGGCCCGGCCTACACATGACCGTCTTTGCCCTACACACACACACACACACACACACACACACACACACACACACACATATATATATATATATATATATATATATATATATATATATATATATATATATTTCAATTTCATAAGTACGCCCACGAGTGGCACACTAGCCTGGTCTCAGCATTTCTTTTTATGAGTGGGTGTGCGAAGGGGGGGGGGGGCAGCACCTTTTCCTTGCCCTTATGCTATTCACGCAATTGACGCCTCTCATCCGGAAAATTAACAGTGTGGGCTTGTTGATGTTGCATGACAGATGAGACGTCCCCCGCTACGCCACCCATCGCCAAAGAGAGGGAAGTACACTCAACCCTTTTTCTATCCGGTTCTCTCTTGGCTACGTGTCTCAGTCACTTTACACATACAGGGATTCGTGCTAGGGCCGGGAAGTAAGAGACGCTATGCCCTGTTCCTGTTTACTGATTCATTTAATATATTACTAACTGCAAACATCGTATACGCACGTACATCAACCACTACGCAAAATTATAACACTTGATTTGGACATTTGCGACATTCGACACAGGGCAGGCACATAAAGTAACTGCAACAATACAAAGATATGCATATATAACGGAGACACACGACGACACAAATGATAAAGTCATTAATTATTAAAACCGCGCAATGTCTCAATACGCCACCTCCCATTCCGCAAAGCTAATCTAAATAAGATGCATAAAGTCCGTCTCACGAAAGGTCCATATTGACGGGGGCCTCGGAGCTGGCTGTTCGAGTTGGGGCTCAGGGCTTCTTCCTGGGGTCATTCTCCGATTCGTCGGCGCCTTCATCGTCTTCGTCATCGTCGCCTTCGTCGTGCCTCTCAGAATGCTCCATTCATTCGCCTCCTATCGCCAACTTTCATTCCTCATCGTACGTCTTTGCCCCAGTCATCATCTCATCGCCCTTTATCGCTATCTCTTCGCACCGTTATCTTCCTTTTCCATTCCGTCTCTCTACCGTCTCAATCTCAACGCTCCGTCTCTCTGACTCTCAAGCTCATCGCATGGTATCTCTCCGACTCTTTTCGCATCGCATTTCTCTGACCCCCTTTCGCATCGTTTCGTAGTCCCTTTTTGTAGGACCTGACTCCGCCCTACCGGGGCACCAAACCAGTCGCCACTCCACGCGGCATATCTTTTCTTCTCAGTCCGAGTGTATCCTCTTCAGCGGCCGCCCCCACGGCCTACACCAGTAGAAAACCCTCTCCTAAATAAAGCCGAGCAAGTAACAAAGTACAAACTCCAGCCTCAGGGAGAGTGATGGGCGAGCCGTCCGAAGACACTTTAATTATGGGCGAACAATGGTCCCGATGCTTCCGGTACTTGGTGAGCCGGTGTCCAGACCAAGTCTCAACGTTTCCATGCAGCTCGGTGTCTCCCGCGAAATTGTCCGTAGCCGCTGCTTCTTCGTCATTCACTGCCGGGGGTGGCCATCCGCGCAGAACGCAGTAATGAGCCCTGGAGCCACGGAGGCTGACGGAAAGTCATACTGGTCCCTGCACAAGCGCTGCGGCGGCGTCGCATTCCCTGAACCAACAAAAGGTCCCCCCTGCTCCACCATGCCACAAATCTTAAGGGTGCGCGCCGATTATCTCCACCGTACGCTGTCACACGGTCAGTAGACGACAAGGCGCCGCCCGCTCCTCGTGTTGGTGCGGGGGAGCCCGTGAGAATAGTAGAAATAATCCTAGTACTTCACTCCGGAATGCCCATTCGTTACACCGAAGGTTTTCTTTTCCTTTTTTTTTATGCGTGGGTTTGAGAAACGAACGAAAACATCTTGAAAGGAGCGGGGTTCAGTGCGTGTTTGCGGGGACGTCACAATCCCTTCATCTTGTAGAAGAATTTTCCTAGTGGGGAAATTCAAACGCGAGAAATGCGGGCGCATAACGCCTTCGGGTTGCGCAGCGAAATTGAGACATTGCGGCAGTCTTAGGAATACGATATGCGAACACAGCACACTTGTGATTCAGCCCTGGCGGCGGTTCGTCGCTGAGAGGAACCAATCTGTGATTGTCGCTGAATCCTCACCCACCACGAAGCAGTTTGATTCCGTATTTCTACCGCGCACAACACACTTGAAACCTTCAGAATCACTGCAGAAACTCGTGGATGACGCGTGGACAAAACGCACACTGGTCACAGCTGCTCGTCGAATGGTTTGGCACGCAGCGTTCAGTCATGAGTACGAAAGGTTCACTACCATGCGAGCACAACACACACTTCGCCTGCACTGTCCACTCTCGGCACAACCAAACAGAGTATACACACATTTCCTTACGCTTTCATTTCACACATGTACAAAATTTTAAGATCTTACCGAACATTTCAAACCAAACGAAAAGCGGGATGGCGGGAGAACATTGGTCATACAGGCAGCAACACTGAATTACCCTCGCGTACGTTCTCCTGCCTGGCCTCATTTCAAAACACAATCAACAAAATAAAACAAGTGTACAAGCCAAAGCAAAACAATATAAAAACTTAAACTTCGACAGAAGGTCTTTACTAAAGTAACATGCCGAATGACCAAGTAGAAATTATGAAACATAAAATGGCATACAGCATTGCGGACTCTTATGACCCTAGCCGATCCCCGAGTGCTCAGCGTCTACCCGTATGCAGACTTCTTCCCCGACTCCGAGTCCCGGACCCTCATTAGATGGTCCGAACTTCAACCTACTCAACTCAGTCGCGGACTGGGGCATATGCGAAGCTATCTTATAAGGCCACCGCTGCGCATGCCCGGGTTTCGTGTGGTGTACATCGAGTGTGCTGCAGTTCCACTTTGGCCCCACAAAAACCACCCCGTTGCGATCTAGGCATTCCTCAATCTCATCTTCTCCCTCTAACGTTCGGTCTACCGCCGTGTCGACCAAGACTCCGACAGCTGCAACCTCAGAAAACCCATTCTCATCCAACTCCTTATCTGCTACTCCTATTGGTAATGCCTCATCGTCTCGTGGGACCTTCGTGGTAGAAACCGCAGCTAAACCGTCTGTATCCGCTCCGGCAACCTCAACAGCTTTTGTTTCACCCAGTGGCACCAGCGTGCAGACTTTCCTCTCAAACACACACTCGCTCAATGGCGGCACATCCTGCTAGATCAGGAAATTACATTAACCACTTCCGCACACGGTGAACCGCGACTCATTTTTACGGAGCTTGTTTCCTCACGAATATTTACGACTGCGACTGACCTCTGCGCGCCAACGTCATGAGGAGGTGTTGCGTCTAGGTTTTCAGATTCAATTTTTGTCACCATCTCCTTGTCTTTGTGAATGTGGCTGTCACCCATCGGATTCCAATTTCGTCGCCGGTACCGGGGACATTCTCGCCGAATGTGACCAAACCTGCCGCAGTTTTAGCACCCGCCGGCACAAGGGAGTTGCTTCGGGAATTCCTGCCAATTTTGTTCCACCTTATTGCGTACTGCCAAGCTCTCCACAAGTTTTTCGAGGTGGTCAAGGCGGCTATGCATCTCATGAACATCCGTGTCCTCTTCAACGTATCGAATGGGTAACGAATGGCTGCTCGACACTTTCTCATTCTGTTCCTCCTTGACCGCTATGGCAATGGCATCGTCAAACGTTTTTGGGTCTCGATAGAGAACAAATCTGCAGACCGGATCCCTCAGGCCTAATAAAAATTGCTGGTGCAATCGTTCGGCTAGAATTTCGCGGCGAAGTGAAGCTTTCACCGGATCCTGACTATCAGAGCTCGCCAGGGTGGCGGTCCCGAGGATGCGCAAGCGACTTGCAAAGGACCTCACCTCCTCATCTGCCTTGTGCCTCACGTTTAAAAACCGTTCCGTTTTAAAGATAAGTGGTTCCGTATCGAACCTCTTGAGGGCGAAATATTTGAACTCGGAAAAAGTTGTAGCCACAGCGACGTTATTATCCCACCACGCAAAATCGTACGCCGCGCCTACTATCTTGCATCGTGCTATGAAGACCAGCTCACTATCTCGCCATCCACCCAAGCGACCAACCTGCTCCAAAATTTTCATGAAGACCCCAACATCCGGACCCGTATCACCTCCCGTAAACGACGGAACCATGTTCGCTAACATTAACGCGCTCATTTCTAGTGGGTCGTCTCTGTTGGTCATCTTGGTAGCCTGCTCGTTGATTTTGCCGCCTCTCCTTCCCTAGTACGAGGGTGAAATCTTGCACCGTTGCCCCAGCAGTAATCCCACCGCTGCCACCACTTGAGACGTCCCCCGCTACGCCACCGATCGCCAAAGAGAGGGAAGTACACTCAACCCTTTTTCTATCCGGTTCCCTCTTGGCTACGTGTCTCAATCACTTTCCACATACAGGGATTCGTGCTGGGGCCGAGAAGTAAGAGACGCTTCGCCCTGTTCCTGTTTACTGAATTATTTATTATATTACTAACTGCAAACATCGTATACGCACGTACATCAACCTCTACACAAAATTATAACACGTGATTTGGACATTTGCGACATTCGACACAGGGCCGGCACATAAAGTAACTGCCACAATACAAAGATATGCATATATAACGGAGACACACGACGACACAAATGATAAAGTCATTAATTAATAAAACCGCGTATAATATAGAACGGAGACAGTCAAAACTGTTATACGAGACCAGGTAGGAGCGTAGGCCTAGCTATCAAAATCAGCGACAGTCCGGGCCGAGCGTCTCGTGCTTAGCACTGACAATGTGTGTGCCGAGATTTGCATGACCCACTACAATCATCATTA